TAAACACAGATGTTAAGATGGAAGTGTTGCATTGAATTGCATACAATGGTACAGGTATGTCTAATAAAGTGGCCGGTGAGTGTAGTTACATGTATGTGCTTCCTGTGGATGTGGATCCCATTCTCAGGAAGCTGAGCAGGCATATATGCCCATCATGGGACTGTATGCATCCTTTTGTCATCTCCTCATTTCCTCACCTCCTTGTTACCTCAACTCATCACATCCTCTTTTTCCATCACATCTGTCCTGACCTTCCTACCTGTAGCACTTCCCCCAGTTTTCATTGGCAATCAGTCATGATGATGGGGGCCCGGCTAATTACTGAAACAAGTAAACAAGGGGAAAGGTGAGCAGAGTGCAGCTCAATTAATAAGGGTACTGTGGACTGATTGTTGTTGAGCTAGCAAGAGCTTACACTCATACACACACACGAGCACACACAGAGGTAAATCTGAACAAGGCAATGATGAAGTGGGATCAGTGCTAAATGGTAGTTGCATATTTAACAAACAGAAATCTCTCAAAGTAGGTCTGCACTCCATCTGACCTCAATTTCTCATTTCCTCTGCCAGTGCATGCACACACACACACACACACACACACAGACACATCGGAGGTTTACATACACTGAAGCTGAAGTCATTAAAACAGAATGTTTTTAACCATTCCACAATTGTCATGTTAATAAATTCTTGTTTTGGCAAGTCGGTTGGGTATTTTATCTATCCATCCATCCATGCATCTCTATATTTTTGTCCTCCCCAAGTCCATACATGAGAGGGTCAGAATATTAGGAACACCTCTGAATATAATGAAGTCCAGTACAACACCACCTTTAACTATGACCTTAATAATAGACATATAATTGAATGTATACATTTATGACAATTTCACAAGAAACTTAAACACTATGAGCTTTATAAACACAGATGTTAAGATGGAAGTGTTGCATTGAGTTGCATACAATTGTACAGGTATGTCTAATAAAGTGGCCAGTGAGTGTAGTTATGTGTATGTGCCTCCTGTAAACCAAATTCTATTGAGGATAATAAAGTTAAATACGTAAGTAAATATTAGAGAGCTACTATCAACAACAATAGGAAGTACAGCGGCCCTAGATTATATTTTTAAAGAAGTACAAGTTTCACTGGTGACATTTAGATCATATGGGGAAGTTTGAGCCATTCTCCATTGCCAGCCTCACAGAAGAGGGCGCTAATGCAATAAAATTTGGATGCCAACGCACCTAAAACCCAAAGAAGCAAAGAAGAAGAAGAGGCGTAGAAGAAGAACGAAACGTTGTAGTTTGAGTATTCGGTCTGCGTCGGATTAGCTACTCATAAAAACATCGTAAAACTCTGACAGTTTGTGAGTCTTTTCAGCTTTACGGGACGGTGCAAGTCCTCAGTTATACTTATTGATCCGTAACTTACACTTTGAAGTTTCTGTCGTAGCGTTGATAATGCTAGAAAATAAACTAACGATGAAAACAGGCGAGGAAGGAGGCTACGAAACGGCCGAGGACGATTCACTAGAACCGTCGGAGCACCAACGTATTCCCAGCGCAGTATCTCCCTCGGTGTACGAGAGGCTGGGGGAGTCACACGGACATCATGCGCATCCATCTCGGATAGACAAGGAAACGGTTTTTGAGTGGTTCGGCCTGCATCTAAACCCTGCTAAGCGGATCGAGTTTATGTGCGGGCTGCTACATATGTGCCAACCCCTGGAGCTGCGCTTTCTGGGATCTTATTTAGAGGATCTAGCTAGGAAAGATTACCACGTTTTACGAGACTCCGAGTGTAGAGCTAATAGTCCGAGCGATATAGACATTTTAACTGACGTGACTGACCCAGTGGTTAGGTCCAAACTCATAGTCTATCTGTCTCTCCTCGGATCTGACAGAAGGGAATGTGCTGGAATACTCTTTCGGATACTGAGCCATGTAGACCCTGCCCTGTTATGCAAAGATTATGACTACTCCCTTCCTCCATTCAGGGAACACCGGCTTTATCCACCGTATCAGGACGGGAATATGGGCGGGCGGTCAGAGGAGACTTGCGGCTTCTCCACTAACGAAACAGCGGCAGGATCTCTGGAACAGTTGGCGTTGCTTTTTACCATGGCCTCTCTACACCCAGCTTTCCGTTTCCACCAACGGGAGACAATCCGACACCAGATTGACAAAATAGAGCTGGTCCTAGAGGAGGAGAGACGTCAAAGTCGTCTTAAAATAAACGCCCAGGTAACTTGATGACACAAGCCATTTTCACCATTAAACGCTAAGATAGCCCAACCCTTGTTTAGTAATAAGTCTCACAGCTAGCTAAAGTTGTTAAGCAAAATTCAGGCCTACATGTATATCTAATTACAAAATATATTTAATATTGCATTACTTGTATGGAAAGTGCGCTTGCAGGAAACGCACTTTTTGTTATTGTTGTCCAAGGTAGTCAGTTTCTCTACATTATTCTTCCTCTTATCCTGTGTGGCCCATCTTTATCCTGTCTTGTCAGTCAGACTTCACATCCCTCACTGACTAAAGGAGTGCACAAGTTAATAGCTTTTTATTCCAGCAGGTTTCAGGCTAATTCAAAAGGTTCATTCATTGTTTTTCCTTGGAAAGTGTTATCTTGGAATTAAACCCTGCAGGTTGCTGACACAGACAGTAGGGTGAAATCACAACAACACAGTCACTGTCAAGGCAAGGTGGAAGAAGTACCTGGGGTATTTACTTAAAAAGTGGCATTATCTTGCCACATTCTAAAACTACTTTGTTACAGGACCTGAATTCAAAATTTGACTAAAATTCAAAGTATACTTTAAGTATTGTATCTAAAAATGCTTGTTATGCAGAATAGCACATTTATCGTTATTGTGTATCATATTATTGGAGTATGGTTATTGATTCATTATTGTGTTCACCACTTTAAACCGGCAGCAGATAAAGTTGGAGCAATGTTACCATTTGAAATACTTGACATACTGCTGGGTAGCTCATGAGTTTCTCTCTGGGGATCAAATAAATCTTACTATTATGCTGTATTTTGCAGAGATACATCAAGTGCAGTTTTCTTGGCTGATTCCGATTTCTGATTTTTTTTTTTTTTTTAAGTCTAACCTGCCAATTGGCTGATTTTTCTGTCTGTCTAAGAACAGTGATTGACAGCATGCTCAGATATTTTTTGCTGCACATGCTACTAAGTGTAAAATACATTAAAGATATTTTAAATTTGAATTTTGACTAGCCAGAAGGTAATTACATATATCTGGAATTTACATTTCAGATAGGCAGAACTAAATTGTAAATACAAAAACAATTTCACCAAAAACTGAAACATCTTGAGCTGTTTTTGGTTTCCAGGAGCTGACGTGTCTGAAGATGGATTTTCTGCCTTCTCCAGAACTAAATTTGGGAGAGCGTACAGCCCCCCGTCCTCCTTGCCAGAGTCAATGCAACAGCCACTGGGTAACACCGAGAGAAGGTGAGTGAAAGCAGATATCCTGTACACAACCATTAAATCTGATGCAGGTACAAATGAACAGAGCAGCCTTTTGATTTGCTCATGTACTCGGCCCTATAATGTTTTTATGCCTCTTTATATTTGCTGTTGCAGTATAGTACATTTTCTATAACACATTTTTCAGTGGTAAATAGTTTTGATGTGCAGCAGAAAGTACTGATTCTTAGATGGTGCTGTACAAACACAGGTAGTTGTATGGGCCTAAATATTTGAATAGGCTTTCAGTAGATGCACATGCTGGTGTTTGTGAAGTCTTTATTGACTTAGTCCAAGTAACAGTGTTGCTCTTTTGCTGCTTAACAAAATAAAAGTATATTACTGGTTTCTGTTGCAGCAGTGCATATAGAGCGAATTATGCTCAGGGCCATTTGTCAAACCAGAACAGACAAAGAATACAAGTTTGAGGTAGGTACCATCACCACAAACACGCACACACAGCTCAGTTTCAAGATATCTGGTGTGCTTTGACATGGTTATTTATGTAAATCTCTAGTTTGGTGAGACTGTTGGCACTCATTCCTAATTATGTCTGTTTTTTCTTTTTCCTGCACTAAAACTAAATAAATAAATCATTGGATGAACATACAGTAATTTATAATTTGCCATCTTGGAATTTTGCAGCCAGATTCTGTGCAGCAGAGTGAGAGCATCAGACTGCCAGTCGAAGCTGTCATAAGACCTATACTGCAACCAGTTTATGACTTTGCTTTTGTCAGATTTCTCATTGTAGTCCATGTTGTGATGGTCCTCTTTTGTGTTTCAGGTGAGGTGGTCAGGCTCTTCCTCAAGCAGAGTGACCAAAACCCATCGAGAACTGAAGAACTTCCTTCTTAAGGTACACAGTTTTGTTGAGGATATGGAGTTTTGGGTGTTCCTGTTTTTCACAAAAGCAAGAAAATTCACAGTTCCACACCACTCGAAAAATGACTTATGCTACATTCACACAGTGTCAGAAGAATAGCAAGAAGAGAAAAACACCCCTTATTCCAACTTAGGAGTGTTCACCCATTATTCCAAGGTGGTTAGCCCTAATGCTAACTTCAGTCACCAGATAAACTGTCTAAATTGGCTTGTTTTGTTATGTATCTGGAACATTTCATAATCAAGTGAAACCAGATACCACCACTCTCTACCTCCTATAAAATTAGCTGAATCAATTGTATATTGGATTTTATTTTTGATGTAACTGCCAGCAGACTCTCAAGTTGGTGCAAACTGCAGTCCGATCTGCTCAGCAATTTAATTTATATTGAATGGTATTATAAAAAAAAATTGGCCCTCATCATGCCTGTACTATTATAGGGGAAACACTGGCCTATCTGGGTCTTTTCTGCCTTATTAAGACCAAAAAATAGGGACAGAGAGGCAATATTTAAGTGAAACAGTTTTAATCATCACATTGAACAATTTGAGGTACAGTGTGTAAGTGTAAAAGCACAAAACCCAATGCAAATTCTCAGGGTAAAGCTGTATGCTACAGTTTCATTTTAGGCCACTGAGGCTGAGTCCAAAGCTGTGCTGCTGCATTTGATAGCAGGTTTGGCAAGTTTACACACACATACTTTAGTTCTGACTTATTATTGTAGTTACTAACATACAGATGGTGACAGCTTTATTTGTGCATAGCTGTTTCTAAATGTGCCTGTTGTGCTCTTCCTTCTTTCTCTGTTCAGCTTCCCAAGGATCAGTGTACAGAGCCTTTTGAGAAGAGTGTCCTGAGGCTTCTCAACCAGGGAGACCAATATGAGAGCGGGGCGGTAGAGATGAACCTCAGGTACCTTACATACAACCCAGCCCGATACTATATGTGTGTCAGACAATGTGGATATTACAAGAATTTTCTAGCACAGTAATATCACATTACTGATCATTATTAATGTACTTTAGATTAAATGTTGCTCTAGTATTTGAGTATTCTCCAAATGACCATAACCTCATTGATTTCCTTTACTGAGCTTCAGTGACCAGTCGTCCTCTGTTGGAAATTTACTTTCATGTCCCTCAGCCAAACATGATGGACTTTGCTGAATGTATTTTTCGCACCTAGAGGAACCCAAATAAAAGCAGTTCATTCATAGGTAATCCACAGCTATTCAATAACCACTTGAAGGAATGAGCTGTTGGTTGTCACACAGCAAAATTCATTGTGACTGAAGATCTCCAGCCAGTGAGCATTATTTATGCTAGCGTATTACAGCAGTGCCAAGAAGACACTAGCTGGAAATCAGAAATGAGTTGAAATAAATCTGTCCCCTATCCTCACCCCTACAACCCATATTCCAGCACCAGCCACAATATCCAGCAGTTTTTAATCTGTATTTCACCACTGTGAAAATATCTGCATATGAATAGATAAGGGGGCAGAGCAGTGTGCAGTGTACAAAAATATACATTTCCTGTTTGTACTGTACGCATGGATACACAGACAAGTGTCATGGGATTGGATGTGATCATTTCCTCAGAAAAAGTAATTTACATTGAATTTAAAGCTCTCTGTACCATGTCTGTTCAGATGTGACTGACTTAAGAGGAGGAACAGTTTTTAACATAAATAGCAGATCATCCATCCATTATCTATATCGCTTATCCTGAATAGGGTCACGGGGGGCTGGAGCCAGTCCCAGCTGATATTGGGCGAGAAGCGGGGTACACCCTGGACAGATCGTCAGTCTATCACAGATAGCAGATAATAAAGTACTTTAAATTTCTCAGTAGTAGTGTGTTGGAGCCATTGCTGCAGCAGCTCCAATTGCTTAGTGTTTAAGTGGGTCAGATAAGTAAGAGAGACTAAAATAACTGACCTCCAGTTGTATTCAGAACACTGGCATGCCCTTGTCCTTTTCGTCCCATGTAAAAAACTTTTGCCTCATGTCTGTCCCACTGCACCTCTGCTCTCTCTCACCCAAGTCCCTTGGTGAGGCACCTCTCACAGTTAGAGAATACAGCTTCTGTAAGGTTATATGATTTCAAAATATGACCTAGTGTTACTTACTGCAACTTACTTTGCTGTTGTCCCAATAACAAATGTGTCAGGAATGTTAGATAAGGGAACTTGTATATGTCTGTGTGTGTGTGTGTGTGTGTGTGTGTGTGTGTGTGTGTCTGTTTGTCGGTCATGGGTGGATCACTAGGTAGCCATTGTAGAGAAGTGAGAGAGATTAGGCTATTTTCCGACACACACACACACACACACACACACACACACACACACACTTGTGTGTACGTCAGTTTCATTTAGTACAAAGCGAAACTAAAAAATGAAACCTATCCCCAAGAACTACAGCCTTTTCTCAGTAGGCCAGCCCATGACAAAGCTGTATTGCAGTCATCTCTGCTGTTTGCATTTGCAAGTTCAGATTTTGTTTTATTATTTTAACTACAGCTTTTGTTTTATTATTTTAACTACAGTATGTTAGTATAACTACTATATATTGATATTGCAAGAGAGCTCTAGATACTAATGCAAACATGTGCTGTTAATAGGCACTGAGTTGCATGTTTAGAAACAGTATGTCTTTGCGGTTTGATTACGACCACACCCAGTGCTATGAGATCTACATTATGTACTGGTCCATTGTTCATTGTGAAAATGTTTTAAGTATAAAGCTGTGGTTTGTTGTAGTAGTAATTTTTACCAGTATTCATTCCTCCCTATAGCTAAACATTTACAGTGGGTATGGAAAGTATCCAGACCCCCTTAAATTTTTCACTTTTTGTTATATTGCAGCCATATGCTAAAATCATTTAAGTTCATTTTTTTCCTCATTAATGTACACACAGCACCCCATATTGACAGAAAAACACAGAATTTGACATTTTTGCTGATTTATTAAAAAAGAAAAACTGAAATATCACATGGTCATAAGTATTCAGACCCTTTGCTCAGTATTTAGTAGAAGCACCCTTTTGAGCTAATACAGCCATGAGTCTTTTTAGGAATGATGCAACAAGTTTTTCACACCTGCATTTGGGGATCCTCTGCCATTCCTCCTTGCAGATCCTCTCCAGTTCTGTCAGGTTGGATGGTAAACCTTGGTGGACAGCCATTTTCAGGTCTCTCCAGAGATGCTCAATGGG